TTTCACCTTTCACCAGCCACCTCCTGCCTACACCGACGGCTCCCTGCGCCCCATCATCTGGTGGGTGCCCGACCTCCGGCACCTAGAGATGCTAACAACGCGGCGGGGCCCGACACTGGTGGCCGGGGATGCTCCCTGCTCCAGCATCCCACGTGGCGAGTGGAGTCGCCTGGCCCTCTTCGACTTTCTCCTCCAGGTAGGGCTGGGGTGATGAAACCTGCCTGTCCCACCGGCTGTGCCACCCAGGTCCCCCTGCACCGGCGCCTGCCTTGTCTGACTGTGGTCTCCTTCTCTTCTGTGGGGTTGCACAGGCTGCAGTTTCTTGGGAGTTTTGTGCAGAAGAGGTCTGGCCCGAGTACAGTCCGTGCGTGGGACTTGCAGGAAAACGCAGGCAGGTTTCGGATGCTGCGAGTCCACTCTCACATGGCCAAGCTTTCTCCCGGTGCGGCTCCGCTGGCTCCGCTTCGCGTGGATGCTGGCAGTGCCTCAGGACAGGGCAGCCCTAGGGACAAGCAGCGTGATCTGCATCAGCCTCATCAAATCCAACTCCAGGCATGCGCTGCTGGCACTGAAAATCAGGAGCCCTGGCCCTTCATATGGCACTGCTTTCCTCCTCCTCCTCCTCCTCGGGATTAATAGTGCTTAATCTTCTCTCTGGAAAATCATACCCTGCTGCTACGAGGGATTACAACAGTGTCCCAGAGAGTTATCGTTTCTTAGAGGGCAGCTGTGAGGAGGCAAAAGTGGTTTCTATGGAAAAAATAGTCTGTTTAGGCACCTCAGGGCTGGAGCTTTGATTATCAAACAAGGGGAGACCACCTGAAAGGGCAGGTATTAAAATAAAAAAAGAAAGAAAGGAAGAAAGAAAAAAAACCAAACTATTAAAATATGTATTCTCATTACTCTTTTTTTTTGGCAAAGCCTGACCATTAATCTTTACAGTCTCAGACTATGGCTGGCAGAGGCAGAGCAGTCCTGGCTAGGCTTGGAAATATTTTAGCTGAAACAGCCAGAGAAATGAGAAGATTAACCAACCCTCCCCTTCCCCAGGCGAAAATGCCATTGAGTGCAATGGAAAGGCTGAGTCTCCAGCAGAAAGTATCTAGTTTTAAGGAGACTTTCCCTTGGAGGGCCAAAGCAGCACAATGAGAAATCCAAGGGCAATCCACAGGTTTTCCTCACTAACTCCAACGGGATCCTCCCATGCGGAAAAGTCACGTAAAGGTAAAAAGGCACGAAGTCGGCAGGATGTTATAGAAGTGAAATAGCATCGTTCAGAAATGGCTTTAGCCTCTCACAGCCCTTGCTGGGGAAGGAGAAGCTGCGAGCTTTGAGCCCTGCTGTACATTGGCATTGAAATCTCGGTTGTTTTCTTCAATTGTCTTTAAAATTGGGCTGCTTCTGTATTGATTTCTCTTGGTGTTTGCCATAAGGGAACACCCCTCTCAGTGCAAAGCTTTACTGGGGGCAAAACGCTGAGCCCGGTGGAAAGGGGGCAGCTGCTGATGGCTTTGTCCTGCACTTTTTAAAAAGGGCCAAAAATACATCAAGCCCAAAGCCCTGCAGCCGCCTCCCTGCCCTGCAGCACCCCATTCCCAGCTGGGGGGACAGCAAGGCATTTTTCCCTGGGGGAAGCCATCCCAGGCTGAGTCATTGCTGGAAAGCCCTGTTGGACCCAGGGGGATGCTCTGGGGCAGCTGAGATTCACATGGAACCAAAGAGGGGCTGAAGGGGAGCTTGTCACGGGTTTTGAGCTTGGATGGGAGAAGGTGGCTCACGTATTTGCGTTCCAGCAGTAAGACCTAGTGTCCTGTTCATTAGAGCTGTTTAGGCTCTGGTGAGGAGAAATTAATATAAATGATCTGGGGAGGGGGGGGGGGAGGGGGGGGGGGGGGGAGTTTTTGTCAACATGTCAGCAGCGGTCTCAGCATCTCCGCAACTGGCTGGTCCATCTTCTGTGGCTCCACCTGGACACCAGGTCCAGCCTCCACCTCACACCTCCTCGGGTCCAGCACCTATCTGCCTTGGCTTCACAGGTGCTTGCGGGCAGGTGAATGGAAGCCTGAGAGCATTTAATGCCTCTGTAAATCATCTCAGGTTGTCTTCACCTTCTGTGCAGCCTGGAAAACAATGTAGCAGCTGAGAGAAAACTGGTGTGCTGAGCTTTCCGGTAGGTAGACCAAGGGAGTGCATGGAGGAAATGTGATATTTTCTTTCATTTCAACGTGTTTTGTGTCAAAAGAAACTTTATCACATTTAGCTGGTGAGTGTCCCAGTGGAGAAATGCTGACCCGAGTCCGTCATTAAACATCAGGAAAGAGAGGGATTTGTTGAGGAACTCTGGTGTGGGACTAATCCTGCTTCTCAAATATAATGGCCTCTTCTGCATCATCTTCTCCAGCGCTTGATTAGTGTTTGGATTCAGACTGAACTCCCTCTTGAGGCACAGCCTATAATTGATAAATTTTGCTAATTATCAGGGTGAGGTGAATTAGCAGCCTCTGTGGGTCACTTGGCTTCCAGCCAGTCGTCACCTGTAGATCACCGCAAGCTCACCTGAGACCTGCTCCAGCCCTCCCGGCAGCTCCAGGAGCCTCTCTGCACCCCGAGCCCTGGCTCCCAGGTTGGCACCAGCAACTCCAAGCAAGCAAGCGAGTCGGATGCCTTCGCGCTGCAAGTGAAACATTCTTTTATATGTATTTGTATATATTTAAAGGAGATTTTTATATATATATATGGATGGATTTTTTTGCTGTAATGTTGTAAACAGGCCTGCAGAGCTGGAGACGGTGAGGCAGACCCCTGCATGGCTGTGGCAGCATGCAGCAATGGGGAGGGCTGTTGACAGGCAGTGAGGTCCCGTCTGCCCCACGGGCCACCGCAGAGGATGCGCTGGCTTCTTCTGACAAAGCTGAGGAAGCTTCGTGAATACCAAGGCAGGGCTACTGAAGCCGGGTCTGACAGAGATTCATTTCTTTTAAAACTCCCTCATCCCTCCGAGGGTGCGGGTGAAACAGTGGAAGCTGCCAAGCAGCACTGGGATTTCTGCAAGGATTTGCGGTGGGAAGGGGGGGGACTCGAGAGCCTCAACAACATGGAGCCTTAGCAGTGCCTGCAAATAATTAAACACAAACGTAGTTAAAACAAGTCACCATGGCCTAACTTAAATGTCAGGCATGCTCTATATAACACACAGATTGCTTTTTCCCTTGCAGATCCTTTTCCATTCATATTCTTTCCATTGAGAGCTGCTTAGGTTACTGGTAGGGATGGATGAAAGGGTGTATATGAGCTGAGAGCCAGATGAAACCATCATCCAGTGCACCAAGACTCAGCCTGAGGAAATAAAAATCTCTTTTTGAGGTTTCAAAACCTAGGTTTCCTTGGGTGCTTTTGTTTGTGGGTTTTTTTTTTATGTTTATTGCTGTATATATCTTCCCTTGGTTTCAGCTGGAAGTACGACCTGTTCGCTCTGTGCAAATATGAAGTATGGAAGTACCAGACGCAGGTGTCTGAACTCCAGCAGGAAAGCTTGTCACCGTCACCTTTGTCGGTCTCTTCTCCAAGCCAAACACTTTTGCAAGTCAGCTCAGCTTTTGAATGCTTCCCTGCCTCTCTCTCAGTGCACACAGCTTTTCCATTTCATCTCTACTGAGGATCCTTTTTATTTTCCTCTGAGCAAGAAAAGTTTACAATTGGACCTCCCTGCCCCAGGCGCCTGTCCCTGATAAGTTCCCCAAATGTCTCCTGCAGGTTCATGACCGCCTGGACCGCTACTGCTGTGGGTTTCAGCCCGATCCCTCCGAGCCCTGTGTGGAAGAGATGCTCCACGAGAAGTGCCGAAACCCGGCGGAGCTGGTCCTGGTCCACATCCTGGTACGTCCCCCCGCTCCCCAGTGCTCTGGGGCTAAGATGAAGGTGCCTGGGAGGCACTTGCAGGGCTGATGTTGCAGCAAAGGGGACATAGGTCCCATGGTGATGCAGGGTCCATGGTGGGAGGTGTGCCTCGGCACAGAGGGACCTGGGCTTTGGCAGCTGATGGCCCCCAGATGCTCTCAGGATTATTCAATGCGTTAAAAAAACCAGCCTAAACACCCAAACTGGTGACTCCCCGCAGTAAGCAAACTTCTCCTTCCCATCCTGCTGGCAGGTCCGGAGGAGTGCGCCGTCCCGCCTGGTGTTCATCGACAATGCGGGTAGGCCCCAGCACCCCGAGGAGAAGCTCAACTTCAGGCTCCTGCAAGGCATAGACAGGTAGGAAGGGCAATGCGCACCCTCCTGGGGGCACGTGCTGGGCCAGGGCTGAGCTTGCACACATGGGATGGACACCAGCCCTATGTGCACACCTTTGTGCCTTCCCTGGCCTCCCCAGTCGGGCATCCCTGTGAAGCGGGGCCACCTCCCACCCAGGACAGGACAGGTGAGTGGGCTCACAAACCCATCATACATGCCCCTGCCCTGAAACTGGCTCGTCACCTTGCTCTGTGTGGCTGATGGCAGTCTCCAAAGCCCATTTTCCCCTCTCTAATTGGCAGCTGCACAAAAATAATGAATAATCAGGTATTTCAGCATTTCTTGCATCGTTGCCCATCAGGCATTTGGCATGCTATTGGCCCCTTGATTTGGAGCTTGTTTGGATCCGTTTCTGATGGAGCTGTCCTGCACGCTCACCATGGGCAGAGTTTTAAGCAGGAGGCTCCTCATCCCGTGTTCATCTGGGTGGACATGCATTTCTTCTCGAAGCACTGGGGTGGCCTTTGCTCGGGTGCCCTGCTGCTGCCCTCCTTCCTGTTTGGCCTTCCCTGGGTAACCCCTTCCCTCCCTCTCTCTTCTGCTCCTCCTCTGCAGCTTCCCGGCGGCGGCGGTGGCCACGCTGCGGTCGGGCAGGTTGCAGAGCCTGCTGCTGGAGTCGCTGCGTGTGGACCAGGAGCTCTGGGAGAGCCAGGGCGGCGCTGAGGGCCTGAGACCCCTGCTTCGGACCATCGACAGGCGGGCACGCATTTTGCTGCAGTACATCCAGGAGCACAACCTGACGGTGTTCGGGGACTCGCCCTGCTGAACCAGCCTCTGGCCAGCACAGCGCGCCTGCCTTGCAAATCGCGGCGGCGACGGATGTACCTCACGCCCTCAGCATGGGCGATGTGATACTGCATGTGGGTGCTTACCTCTCCAAAAGGTGTACCCCCCCCTTGTAGGATGCCCTGGAAAAGGAGGCGGGATTGCAGGGAGGAGGAAAGAGGAGGAGGAGACATCTCCTGAAACAACCCACAACTGCTTGAGAAAGGTGTTAAGCAATGGTCTCAGTGTGGATTTTCAAAGGGAGCACATCCATGAGAATTTTTGGGTGCCTTCACCCCCCCAATCCCCCCAGCAACTTTGAAAGCTGGAGGCTTGGACTGCTGAACAGCCTACAGGGACCCTGGGAAGGGTTAAAGAAGCATTGAGAGGCACTGCTCACGGCTGGGGGAAGTCACTGGCAGCCTTTGCATGGCTTGCGCTTGGCTTTTTGATGATGCCTTCGCTGTTTCCAAAACATTACAGGCAGAGAGGCTGGGGGAAGGCAGAGGGGAGCTTTCTAAGTGGATTAAGCAGGGACAAGTCACCCAAGCTGAGCTCTGTCTTTCCCCCCTGTGGAGGAGGTGATATGTGCCTGGGAGCGGGTGTGAATCACTGCCAGAAGCCAGGGCCAGGCAGGACCCCGGACCACAGGCAGTGCCTGGCAGCAGCTGCCATCACGGAGCCCACGGTGCCGTCCCCGCGTGCCGTGCGCTTTGCCTCGGCAGGGCTGGGCTGCCGCCAAGGTGCATTTTGAATGTGGGATTTGAAGGTTTCAGTCTCTCGCTTGCTCTTTCCCTTCGCTGTCAGGGGATTAAAAGGCAAACCTATCCCAAGCTCTGCCGCTTGTGAAAAGCGCTCCTGCCTGCTCTCTTAGGCATGGCTGTGCAAAACTCTTTCCAAGGTTTGCAGAAAAATCTTTTAGCAAAAATGCCAGGCTGTTTCAGCAGAAGACAATCAAGTGCAAAATACTTTCTGAGCATGCTGGCACCTCCGGCAGAGCCTGTCCTGCTCCTGTCACCTCTGTATGCTCTTGCCTAGCAGCTCACTGTGATGGGGCACAGCAGCATCCCAGCCAGGCAAGTCCTCAAGTGTCAGGGCCGAGAGAAAATTCAAAAGCAAAATGAACAGCAGGAAAAAAGATAGAGGGATGGGCTCTGTCAGAGCCTCTCACTCTCCACGGCGTGTTTCCCAGCTGAGGCATGCAGTCAGTGCTTGCTTGCCAGGAGCAGCCGGGTCCCAGCCTGTGGGCTGGTGGTTTGCCACCAGGAGAAGGCTTTTTAAAGGGGCCTCAGGGAGCAACCCTCCATTTCTCCAGCGCTACAGGTGGAGCCTCCATGCTTGAGGCACCCCAAGTCACTTGTGCCTTTGGAAAGTCTCGGTGAGACCGACGTGGGCGCCCAAGCTGTGCTGCTGTCCCATTGCCCTAGCTTTGGAGAACACGGCCACCCAGGAAGTGGGAAAGGCAGAAAGGGTGGGCATTCATGCCTTCCCTGCTCCAGCCGTCTCAGTGACTTGTCACTGACAGAGCCTGCAAGGGGATTCTTTAACACCCATGCTGATAAGCACAAGCAGTTACCTTTTTTTTTTTCTTCCTTTTTCCTCTTGCTTAATTTAACACCCATGCTGATAAGCACAAGCAGTTACCTTTTTTTTCTTCCTTTTTCCTCTTGCTTATGGGAAGATGAAGTGAGGCTTGGGTGACATGAATCAACAAGCGTGAGTGCTCTCAGAAAGTGTCGGCACTCAACTTCATGGGCACATCAGCATCCAGAGCACTGGCAGCATCTTCCTGGAGTCCTGCCCTCTAGTTAGCCAGGGAAAGCCTTTCCCCCATCACCCTCTCCACCCCATGAGTTATCACCCAGTTTGCCGGGCCATGGGATGGATGACTGTCAGGGAAGCCCCGCTAAAGCCCAAACCATGGGGATTCATTATCAGGAGGTGAGCTTAGTCTGTAAGCATGAAGGAGAACAAAATAACTCATCCTGGGTCCTGTGAAAAGCTATGTGCAAGCACAGCCTTATATGAATAAAGGAGACTAAATCTAACATAATTAAATCCAGAAAATATGCTTGAAAAGCTATGTGGTAACTCTAACATAATTAAATCCAGAAAATATGCTGTGAAAAGCTATGTGGTAACAAGAGCATTAGTTAGGATGTGTGGCATCAGTCATAGTCTTGTTTTTCTCATTAAAATGAGAAATTTCATTAAAAGAGAGGTTTTCATCCCATGTAAGCCAAGTTCTCAGCAAGAAGCAAGAGGAAGGTGGGGCACTGTGTGGTGGCCAAAGCTGTTGACTCGGCTGTGCTGGAACAGCAGCTTTTGCCTTGCCTCTGGCTGCACCTCTTGCCTCCGGTTGCATCTGCTTGACCTTAACATTGCACAAGATAATGGGGATTTTTCTAGTTTTTTTTTGCATTTCCTTAATTGTAACGTGAGTTTGCTGGCTAAAGTAGTGTGGGAACATCTGTAAACATGCATGTAAATAAAAATTGCTCTTGAATTAACAAGGAGCCTTGTATGGATAAATGAGCGAAGCAAAAGCCATGATCTTGCTGAGACTGATCATTAGTCTCTTCTAATTAGTCATTTTTTCCAGGGACTTGTCTATGTAGCCAGCAAAGCGCACAGGTTCTGAACTGTGGTCACAGCCGTTTGGAGAAATCCCATGGACTGCTCTGGCCATATCAGCCTTCACCACATAGTGTCAGGTTTGGTTTGCTCCAGCTATGAATGTGTCATATTTCCTATGATAAACTTATTTTTATGGGTTTATAACGTAGTTATAAAAATTCATTTGGGGCCATGCTTGACAAACAAGATCTCATCTCAGGAGTGATCCTGTTATAACCAAATTTCATTGGGCATCATCACGGATCCTGTTGGGGTGGAGTAACAAAGAAAGGACAGGGTACAAGCTGGCTGTGGAGCTGGGGCAGGACTGCTTTGGCTTTAAGAAGGCAGCAGCAGCTAAGCAAGGGAAAAAAACGTGGAGAAACAAGCTAAGGCACCTTTCCTGAGCTTGCAAGAGCTGAAGTGCAGGTGGCTCCCAGCGGGGGCAATTAAATGCAACCCCCATCCTACCAAGGATGCTCTTGCTAGCATCACTGATGACAGGATGGAGGAGAGAAGCAGCAAGGAGCCAAGAGCATCGGGAAAGTGAAGCTGTCTGCGTGCGAGTGCCCCTGGGGGCCCAGCAGCATGGGCATGAGGCGCTGCTTGCTGCCCACATCACCAGAAAAGACCCAGGGTGAAAGCCGGATGCAGCCGTTCTCCGCATTGTTCTTCCCTTTGTCACTTCAAGAGCTGCTGGAAAAGCCGTAAGGTTTTCCCGGAGGCACCAGGCAGCGCTCCTGCTGGGGCTCCTTGCAGGAGGGCGTCCCTGCGGCACCCTCGTGCCCACCCTTGGCACCGCGGGAATGTGCTGCTTGCTGCCAGTACTCGGGGAATAGGCTGAGAGCATGGGCACGCACCCACATGGGGCTTCACTAGGAGGAAACTCTTTTCACAGTGACCGAAGTGGCATGACCGGTGTTTAACAGATCTGTGGCTGCACACTGCCCTTCAGCTGGAAGAAAACAGGGCTGGGGGAAGGAAGGCAGGGGCCAAATTGGCTCCAACCAACTGAACACATGGACACATGTGCATGCATGCAAACACATGTGTCCACGCATGCACGCCATCCCACCCACACGCAAGCATGCACCCACACATGCACAGAGACATGCACACACGGAAGGAAGGCAGGGGCCAAATTGGCTCCATCCAACTGAATACATGGACACACGTGCATGCATGCAAACACGTGTCCACACATGCACGCCATCCCACCCACATGCATGCATGCACCCACATGCACAGACACATGCACACATGTGTGCACACACATGCATGTCCCCCCCCCCGCCATTCATGCATGCACACACACACATGCACATCCCCCATGCACGCAGACACCACCACCCCCCCCAGGCACACTACTCCTGTTCAGCCTGTTCTTAACCCCCCAAAGCTGGTGACCCCCCCGAATGCCCCCCCAGCAGCCTGCTCCAGTGCTTTGCTGGCCTCACCCTCCATAAACTAAATGCCTTTTTGCTGGATTTAAGGGCCGCTTCTTGAGCTGCCCATTGCGGCCACAGGACACAAAACAGCCTTTGCAGCAGCCCCGTACAGACCTCGCAGAGCAGCCCAGGCACCCACTGAAGCCACCCACTGGCTGGGGACGACAGCAGTGGGGTGGCACTCAGGGGTGGCACTCGGAGACCCCACAAAATGCTCGGCAAAAGCTGGCCAAGCGGTTCCATGCCCACGCAGGTGAAGCATGGGCCGGCTGCTGCCTGAAAGGCAAGAGCTAGCAAGTAAATCCAAATTTATTGTTAAATCGCTGGATATAAAAATAATCTGGCTTTTAGAAAGTAATTTATTTATGCTTTCAGTACTTGCTTAAATATTTATGCGGAAAAGGAAAAAAGTATCCACTCCGACATAGGACTATCATCGTAGCGACAGCCTTTAAGATTAATGGAAGTAAATTAGCCTGACATTTTATTTACATCCAGCAAAAGCAATAGATAAACTCTCCTCGTGATGGATTTTCTTCATTAGCTGGGCGAACGCCTAAGGTACAGTTTTTGACGTTGTTTCTTCCAAGCGGTTAGACCAACAGTTTATCAAAAGAGTATAAAATTGCCAGGAAACGAAGCAGATTAATGACCAGTAAAGGGGAAGATCATTGAATTTATGATATAAGTAGCAGCATCACTGGAGCTTAAGAAATGGCTTATTAGATAACCAACATGTACAAGCACGCAGAAGCGCTGAACCCCCCCGGATCCGCCGCCCTGGAAGCAGCTGCTCCCCGCATCATCCCTTCATGGGGGTCTCTGCACTGAGGCTTCACCTCCCTCCTCCTTCCCTCCCCTTAGGTCTGGGTTTATTCTGTAACTCTCTCATTAGAACTTGTGAACATATTATTTCCTCCCAATTAAAAACCTCTTA